CCCGTAGGTCTGTCTGTGTTCCTAAGGAAATAACCAGAGCATGATACTCCCTTAGTATCTCTTTCGATTCAACTGATGCCAATCACAACTACAAGCTTTTTTTAAGAAGATTTATTTATTTCATTCTATTAATTATCTTTTAAAAATCTGACCAGAGAGAGAAAGTGAGAAGGCAAGCCACTAGGTCCAGGACTCAAACCATGATCAGCCATGTGGGAGTCCACGCCATCTGCCAGCCCCACAACTATAAGCTCTTTACTTAGTGCTTACATACTAGGTGTTGGGAGAGAGCACAAGACACAGTACTAATTGAGTCAATCCCAGAAGACATTCACATCCCCCCACCAGTGAAATCTAGGGAAGAAACACTATTCGGCCTCTGGGAGTTTCGTTTTTCTATTTCTATTTCATTTTTTCTAAGAATTCTTTATTTTGGGACCAGCAGTTGGCGTGGCGGATATGTAACTGGCCGTGTAGTCAACTGCGGTTCAAGGCCCAGACCTGGTGGCTTAAATTCATGCCAGGTACATGTGTGTGTGCCCAAGATCCCAAAAGAATGGAGAAGGGACCGTGGCTTGGCCATCCCCCCAGGGTGGGGGTGACCTCTCTTTCTCTTTCTCTTTCTGGCGAGTGCACACGCCCTACAGCAAAAACCTCTCCCCCAAAAAAGAATTATTTTAAAATTTTATTTGTTGGGATCAACAGTTGGCGTAATGGCTGTGTCGCTGGATTCCCATGTAGTCAACCATGGTTCAAGTCCTGGAACCGGTGGCTTAAATTCACACTGGGAGCATGTGTGTGTGTGCCCAAGATCCCAAAAGAATGGAGAAGGGACCGTGGCTTGGCCATCCCCCCAGGGTGGGGGTGACCTCTCTTTCTCTTTCTCTTTCTGGCGAGTGCACACGCCCTATAGCAAAAACCTCTCCAAAAAAAAATTTGCTGTTATCATTATTATTTCATTTGGAAACAGAATCAGAGAGAGAGTGACAAAGCAAGCTGCCAGGTCAGCCAAAGACACAGGACAGGGGGGCTGGACTCTTTAAAAAAATGTCTAGTTATAACTTCCTTTTTTTTTCTTTCACTTTTTTTTGGGGGGGGGAGAGATTTTCACTATAGGGCTAGTGTGCTCGCCAGACAGACAGAGACATTAGAGACAGAAAGCGAGAAATCACCCCCCAGGGGGGATGGTCACGCCGCAATCCCTTCTCTTCCATTCTCCTCTCGGGTTATTGGGCACGCACGCACATGTGCCCAGCTTGAGTTTTAAGCCACCGGGTCCGGGATGCGAACCGTGGTTGACTACGTGGGAGTCCAGCGACATAGCCATTACGCTAACTGCTGGTTCCCTAGTTATAACTTCTAAGAAAGAATAAAAGAGGGAAAAGTCATAGAAAATTAAAAGCATAAAAGTAGTTCAACTTTTTAAATCTTACCATGGCGTATCAGTCCAAGTTCAAACCATACCCCAGTCACTCCCTAAAGCTGGCTCCTCACTCACTACTTAAGCCAGAGGTTTTATCAGACCCCAGCCACTCCCCCAGACTGCTTTTCTTTCTTTTTAGACAATAGGATGCATACCAGTAGTTAAGACCAGTCCTCCACAAAAGAACCCAGCCTGAATCAGCCTGAGCCAAGATGGTTCCTAGGACGACTTCTGCCTAACCTTCCAGCTCCTTGGACCCTCAATGTACTGTTAATACATGCTAGGTGGCACATGTGCCAGCGCCAGAAAGAGTCGACAGTCGCTATGGTTACTGCCTGCAATGACCTGACAAGGAAGGAAAGTAGGCAAGCTTTGGAATTGGGGAGGGGAGGAGGGAATCCCCACCTTTTCTAGGAAAAGCTCTGAATACTCCTCCCTTCTATTACCCTAGCCCTTTCCCTCATTATTCCATTTGTTACATCTTAAAATTCTCAGCTCCAGGGGTGAGCAGGTAGTGTGGTGATAAGACACTCAACTCCCACATGGCTGAAAGTGGTTGGTTTATCACAGGAAGAACATTCTAGATTTCACATTTATTAGCATATGAAGAAATCATTCACCAGTACCTATGCCTCTATTAAAATTTCTTCTGGTTAATCTGGACCCACCTACTTTTTTATCTTTGTTGTTGTTGTTTTAGTTTCTGGTATAGGGTGCATGTGCTAGGGTGGGGGCAACAGTGGGGGAAAGATTGAAATCACCCCCCAGGGGGAATAGCCATGCTGCGGTTCCTTCTCCTCTATTCTCCTCTCCTGATCTTGGGCACACATGCCTGGCATGGTTTTCTAACTTGTGGGTCCACCTATATAAAAACAGGTGAACAGCCATCAATCACACCAGGTATTTACAAAGGTTAAGAGAGCATTATAACTACAGTGCCTAGCACATAATCACTCAACAGTGTTACTGTATGATTACACCTCTATCCAGCTTGCGGATAAAAACACTGAACAAGCACATGGCGTGATGGTTAAGGTGCTGGATTCCCACACTGTCAACCACCCTTCGAGTCCAAGACCCAGCCCTTGGAAATCACATCAGGAAAATGGAGACAAAGGGCCTCTGCATAGATGTAGTTCCTGAGAGGAGAGAGGGTAACTTTCTCTCTCTCTGGTGAGCGCACACACCCTATGGCAAAAACAAAACAAACAACTAAACACTGAATGAGAGAAGGGCAAACTTACAATCTGGTAGCCTCTCTACAAACCCAACATAATCGAGTATAGGTCTTTAGCTACAAATTCACCGCATAACCCACCATCCAGCTCACACTGACTTGTATCACTTACTTTCATAAAGTTATTACTTTCAAGATAGTGAGGACTGTTCAAAGAACATACACTGTGGCCAACTTTTGTCTCAGTGAAGCCATGCTATCTATTTACTAACCACACATTTAATAAACTATTTTCCACGGTTTGAGTCCCGAACCTGGCAGCTTGCTTTCTCACTTTCCCTCTCTCGCTAGCTCTCTCAATTGCTCTGTCCCTCTCTGGTCAAATTAAAAAATAATAAGTAAATAAAGTTAAATAAAATAATTCTTTTTAAAAAATCTATTTTAATGACTAAATAAACACTCTAATCCTATGGAAAAAAATCAAATACGCGTTGGAAAGACTGAGAGGACACACACCAAAATGGGAAACGGGGCAGCTGGTGGCACAGACGTTAAGGCAGCTGGATCTCAGGTAGCCATCTGAACCAACTGAGCAGTTCAAGTCCTGACCCAGTGCTTGAAAGACAAAAGAAAGCGAGAATTCACCCTCCACCCCACCCCAGGGGGATGGTCAGGCCAGTCTCCTCTGGGGATTTTGGGCATGCACGCACACATGCCAGCATGCGTTTTAAGTCACTAGGCCCAGACTTGAACTGTGGTCGACTACCTGGGAGTCCAGCAATGTAACCATCTGCTGGTCCCAAGAGGGAGCTTTTCACTTGAATTTTTCTTCTTTGTATTTCTGGTATATTCAGTAGTAAGGGTGTATTACTACTTTTAAAATAAAATAATTTTTATCATTGTTTATTTATGTATTTTTTTAAGAGTTATTTATATAATTCCATTTGTCACAATTTTTTTAAAATTTGACCAGAGAGAGAGAAATAAAGAAAGGGAAAGTGAAAAAAGCAAGCCGCCAGGTCCAGCACTTGAACTGCGTGCGGTTGGCCACATGGGAATTCAGTGCATCTAACCACTACACCAACTGAAGCCCCAAAATAAAACAACATAATACATAAAGAACTAAATCTTATGCCAAAAATTTTTGAAAATTTTCTTTTTTTTTTGGAGAGGTTTTCGCTGTAAGGCGCGTGCGCTCGCCAGACAGACAGAGAGAGACATAGAGACAGAAAGCGAGAAATCACCCCCCAGGGGGGATGGTCACACCGCAATCCCTTCTCCTCCACTCTCCTCTTGGGATCTTGGGCACGCACGCACTCACGCCCAGCGTGAGTTCTAAGCCACTGGGTCCAGGACACGAACCGCGGTTGACTACGTGGTAGTCCAGCGACATAGCCATTACGCTAACTGCTGGTTCCCGAAAAATTTCTAATAAAGTGAAGAAAGTTCTAGATGTTTAAGAGAAAAGGCAATCCAAGTGGTACATAAAGAAAGAGCCAGGCCAGCAGGTGGCAGAGAGATGAAGGTGGCTGGATCCCACTTAGCCCATGGTGCTATTGGAGTCTATTTGAGTCTCAGACCTAGTGGCTTGAAGATCATGCTGGGCTTACGTGCACAGCTGCCCAAAATCCCCAGAAATGAATAGAGGAGAAGGGACTGGGGAATGGCCATCCCATCTGGGGGGGTGGGAGGACACTTTCTCACTCTTTCTTTCTCCTCTTCGCTTCTAGAGAGCACAAGTGTTCTACAGTAAACAAACAAGCAAAATATAATATGTCATGTAAAAGCTGAGATCTATCCCAAAATACAAGGTGTGGTTCTTTTTAGGTAGTATTTTTTATAAAGAATTATTTTAGAGGCCAGCAGGTGGCATGGTGGTTAAGGAAGCTGGACTCCCACATGGCCAACTGCAGTTAAAGTCTAGGACCTGGCGGCTTGCTTTCTCACTTTCTTTTCTCACATCTCTCTCTCTCTCTGTCTCTCTCACTCACTCACTCACTCTGTCCCTCTCTGGTCAAATTAAAATTAATACATAGAGTTAAATAAAATAATTCTTAAAAATTTTTTAATTTAATTTTAGTAGGTCGTTGGAAAAGTCAGTGCTCATTTTTACATAGAAAAACATAGAAAAATAAGGACCTGGAACCAGCAGCTAGTGTACTGGTTCCGTTAATGGAGTCCCATGTAGTCGACCGTGGTTTGAGTCCTGGACCCAGTCAGCAGCTTAAAACTGACTCCAGGCACATCTGATTTCATGCCCAACATCCAGGGAGGAGAATGATAAGGGACTGCGGCGTGGCCATCCCCCTGGGGGGGGTGATTTCTTGCTTTCTGTCTCTCTTGTCTCTCTGTCAAGCGTATACACCCTACAGCAAAAATTTCTCGGAAAAAAAAAAAAAAAAGAAAAGAAAAAGAAAAGAAATAAATAAAAAAGAAAAGAAAAACAAAGGAAATAGAGGGACGAGTAGATGGTGTAGTGGTTACATGGCTGGAGTCTCACATGGCCAACCACAGTTCGAGTCCCACACCCAATGGCTTGAAAATCATGCCAGGCACATGTGCACGCATGCCCAAGATCCTGGGCGAAGAATGGAGGAGAAGGGATTGTGGCGTGGCCATCCCCCGTGGGGCGATTTCTCACTTTCCCTCTCACTGTCTCTGTGTCCCTCCAACAAGTGCATGTGCTCTTAGGCAAAAAGTGCTGAAAAGGGGCTGGCAGGAAGTATGGTGGTTAAGGGCACTGGACGCCCTCCCCTATGGTAGACATTCAAGCCCTGAACCTGGTGGCTTACTTTCTCACTTTCCCTTTCTGGTCAAATTATAAATAAATAAATGTTACATAAAATAATTCTTTAAAAAAAAAAAAAACCTCTAAAAACATACACATACAAATACATGACGACTTTTCCATGACCCAATATTTATTAATATGTTTTAATTTTCCTATAAGGCATGTCTGCTCACCAGATAGAAAAACAGAGAGAATGAGGGCCAGCAGGTGCCAGAGTGGTGGCTAAGGGTGCTAGACTCCCACATGGCTGACCATGGTTCGAGTCCTGGACCTGGAAGCTTGCTTTCTCACCCTCCCCCTCCCTCTCTGATCAAATTGGAATGGATGAATAAATAAATTAAATTCTTAAAAAGAAAAACTAATTAGTTAAAAAAAAAAAGAAGATAATGAGAGCAAGCGAGCACACAGGCACACAAGCCGCCAGGTCCAGGACTCAAACCATGGTTGGCCAGGTGGGAGTCCAGCACCTTAACCATACCACCACCTGCTAGTCCTCTATTTGCTCTTAATTGTCCTATATTCCTTATTACAACTGTGCATTACTTTTACAGTTAGAAAAAAATGTTGAAATAGGACAAAAAGATCTACTATAGGAAATACCACCTACTTATCTAATATACCTTTCATCATGAAGGAAATAAATTTTTCTTTTCTTTTTTTTTTTTTCTTTTAAGAGGGTTTTGCTATAGGGCGCGTACGCTTGCCAGACAGAGAGAGACAGAGGGACAGAAAGCGAGAAATCACCCCCCCAGGGGGGATGGCCACGCCGTAATCCCTTCTCCTCCATTCTCCTCTCGGGATCTTGGGTACACATGCACACGCACCCGGAGTGAGTTTTAAGCCACCAGGTCTGGGATGCGAACTGCGGTCGACTACGTGGGAGTCCAGCGACATAGCCACTACGCTAACTGCTGGTTCCCCTTACAGACATTTTTGATGTGATGGAATTTGTCCTAGTGGGTAAGTTTAACCCTTTTAAATTATAGTAAAGCTGGGGACCAGCAGTTAGCGTAATGGCTAAGTCACTGGACTCCCATGTAGTCAACTGCGGTTCGTGTCCCGGACCCGGTGGCTTTTTTTGTGGCTATCTTCCGTGGGGGTGATTTCTTGCTTTCTGTATAGCTCTGTTTCTCCAGCAAGCGCACGTGCCCTATAGCAAAAATTTCTCGGAAAAAAAAAAAAAAAGAAAAGAAAAAGAAAAGAAATAAATAAAAAAGAAAAGAAAAACAAAGGAAATAGAGGGACGAGTAGATGGTGTAGTGGTTACATGGCTGGAGTCTCACATGGCCAACCACAGTTCGAGTCCCACACCCAATGGCTTGAAAATCATGCCAGGCACATGTGCACGCATGCCCAAGATCCTGGGAGAAGAATGGAGGAGAAGGGATTGTGGCGTGGCCATCCCCCGTGGGGCGATTTCTCACTTTCCCTCTCACTGTCTCTGTGTCCCTCCAACAAGTGCATGTGCTCTTAGGCAAAAAGTGCTGAAAAGGGGCTGGCAGGAAGTATGGTGGTTAAGGGCACTGGACGCCCTCCCCTATGGTAGACATTCAAGCCCTGAACCTGGTGGCTTACTTTCTCACTTTCCCTTTCTGGTCAAATTATAAATAAATAAATGTTACATAAAATAATTCTTTAAAAAAAAAAAAAACCTCTAAAAACATACACATACAAATACATGACGACTTTTCCATGACCCAATATTTATTAATATGTTTTAATTTTCCTATAAGGCATGTCTGCTCACCAGATAGAAAAACAGAGAGAATGAGGGCCAGCAGGTGCCAGAGTGGTGGCTAAGGGTGCTAGACTCCCACATGGCTGACCATGGTTCGAGTCCTGGACCTGGAAGCTTGCTTTCTCACCCTCCCCCTCCCTCTCTGATCAAATTGGAATGGATGAATAAATAAATTAAATTCTTAAAAAGAAAAACTAATTAGTTAAAAAAAAAAAGAAGATAATGAGAGCAAGCGAGCACACAGGCACACAAGCCGCCAGGTCCAGGACTCAAACCATGGTTGGCCAGGTGGGAGTCCAGCACCTTAACCATACCACCACCTGCTAGTCCTCTATTTGCTCTTAATTGTCCTATATTCCTTATTACAACTGTGCATTACTTTTACAGTTAGAAAAAAATGTTGAAATAGGACAAAAAGATCTACTATAGGAAATACCACCTACTTATCTAATATACCTTTCATCATGAAGGAAATAAATTTTTCTTTTCTTTTTTTTTTTTTCTTTTAAGAGGGTTTTGCTATAGGGCGCGTACGCTTGCCAGACAGAGAGAGACAGAGGGACAGAAAGCGAGAAATCACCCCCCCAGGGGGGATGGCCACGCCGTAATCCCTTCTCCTCCATTCTCCTCTCGGGATCTTGGGTACACATGCACACGCACCCGGAGTGAGTTTTAAGCCACCAGGTCTGGGATGCGAACTGCGGTCGACTACGTGGGAGTCCAGCGACATAGCCACTACGCTAACTGCTGGTTCCCCTTACAGACATTTTTGATGTGATGGAATTTGTCCTAGTGGGTAAGTTTAACCCTTTTAAATTATAGTAAAGCTGGGGACCAGCATATGGTGCAATGATTACATCTCTGGACTCCTAAGCAGTCGACCGTAGTTCAAGTCCTGGACATAGTGGTTTAAAACTCATGCTGGGCCTGTGTGTGCCCAAAATCCTGAAAGAAGAATAGAGAAGGGACTGTGGTATGGCCACCCCCCAGGGGAGTGATTTCTTGCTTTCTGTCTCTGTCTCTCTAGCAAGTGCATCTTATAGAAAAAATGCCTCAAAAAAAATTATACTCAAGTTTACAAATTAGAAGATCTAAAAAAAATTATTTTTGGCCATAGGGCACGTGCGCTCATCAAAAAGACAGACAGATAGAAAGTGAGAAATCACCCTCCAGGGGGGATGGCCGCATTACAATCCCTTCTCCTCCATTCTCCTCCTGGGATCTTGGGCACTCACAGTGTCATAGCCATTACACCAACTGCTGGTCCCAAAAGATCTAATTTTTCATTATCAAAAATGTCAGTTTTATTTTATTTTCTAAGACCTGTTTCCACTTTCAGTACAGTTTGGGAGATTATACTTAATTCTCAGTCCCAAGAAAGAGCTAGACTTGGTATGCATTTGTAGAGAATACCAAATAGCAAATCTAAAAAGCAGAAGCTCAGAAAGCAAGAGGAATCAAATGTGACAGCAGTTCACACTAATCCGACAGTCCAAGGTTTCTCACCATGTATTTCTCTTTCTGTTCTTTGCTTAGTCCAGAATTTCTTTTCTTCCTGAGTTCAGCCACCTTTTCCTTATACCGCAGCTGCCTCTCTGTTGGTGCCTAAAAGGAAAAGGAGAGGGCTAAGCTAGCTAGAGAACTCATTATGAAGTTAAGATTCAAAATTAAGCGTGTCAGTGCCTCTTTTTAATTTTTAAAGGAAGAATAAAATGCTAGAAATGTTACAGCCACCCTGTGAATAATACAGCTATTTACAAATTCCCAGTTAGCTTCACTGATTACCCAAACCACTACTCTTACTGCCAGTTAAATGTGGGTTCCAGAATGAAAACATTTTAATATAAACATATATTAAGGATGGAAAACTCCACCAAAGCAACAGTAACAAAATAAAGATCACTTCAATTTAAGGAACATTTATTGAATGTTTACTGTTTTATAAGTAATGCTTACTGATCTAATTAACAGTGTTATAAAAATGAAGACAACCCTAAGACAGGCAATGAAGAAACATGCAGCTACCGTTAATGGAGTGCTTTTTGCTTGCCAACCCCAGGGATAGGTATTTTATATACATAATTTAGCTGACAACCCTATCAGGTAGGAATTATTCACCCCCTTTTATTAATAAGGAAGTAATTTTAGGGAGGGAGGCCAGTCCAGGACAACACAGCTAGAGTAACACAGTATTCAAATCCAGGTCTGTTTGGCTCCAAAGCCAAACTTCTTCCTCATCACTGTGCTTCCTCTGCTATCCACCTGTAATCCAGACAGTAAGCTATATATCACATGGAACGAAGTCTAATATTTTGAGAACATTACAATGGGAATACATGAGAAAGAAATTCAGTAAAGGTAGGAGAGGATGTAGAAGATTTCCCATGACAGCTGAGAACTGCACAAGGCATTCAAGGATAAATGCAATCTTCTTGGTGTAAGTGTAGAGTTCCAAGCAGGAAAACAGCAAGAATAAAGACCAAAGGCATTTATTTAGGGAGAAGCAAGGAATTAAGGCAATCAATGCAGCATGAATGTTTAGAGAGGCAGGACAAGGATTGGGACAGAGCCAGGGTGCTTCCTAGAAATCAAGGGAAGAGCAGAGAAGAAAAATGACACAGTCAAGCAGCGTCAAGTGCTAAGGAAAGCTCACTGGTGACCTTGGAAACACGTCAGTAGAGCAGATGGGGTTCAACTACGATGGTTAAAAAAAGTACAACATGAGGAAATGAAGCAGCGAGTATAATTTTCCAAACAATTAGAATTATCTTTTACTACTACTACTTTTATTATTGAAACTGGCATTTCCTTATTCAAGAGCTAGAAGTGTTTAATAAAAATTTACTGTTTGAAAAACAAATGGGATACTAAGTTTATGGCTGGAAGACCAATTACTCAGATAGACCATAGGAAACAAGAGGCATGGGTATGCCAAGAGACACAGCAGATCCAAGGGGCAAAGGAGGGCCAAAACATGGATCTCAAACTGTGACTGGCCAGAGCTTTAACAAGGCCCCTACCTGGTGCCTGGTTGCATGCCTGTTGTTGTCATCTTGCCTGTGGGACAGCATCCTTTCTTCTATCTGCTTATCCCGGCTCTGTGCTCTCACCTGCAACCATCAACAACGTCAATAAATCCACCTGCTTCTAAGGCTATGTTTACGTAAAGCTTAAGAATACAGTAATAATCCCTTGAACAGATGTACTTTCACTTTCAAAGGGTCCTCGCACTTATTAGAACAATCTCTACAAGAAAGAAATCAGGCAAGCTTCACATTCTGCTTTCTCAGCCACAACTGAGAATGAGAGAAGTAAAATGAGCACAGCTACATGATGGTACACTGAAGGTTTGCATTAAGTCCAATGACTCTGAGCCTGGACTCTCTTCACTGTACAATGCTGAATAAACTGAGGAAGAACAAGAACAGAGTGAAGGACAAAAAAAAAAAAAAAAGATACATTAAAAACCTGGTTCAAATCCGTAGGAAAAGTTAATGCTGTAGTTACACCATCTTAGACAAATCACATCAGCTCTCAATAGTTTATTTCATCATCTGGAAACTGAGAACTCTTAGCCAACTGCGTATTCAACTTCACCCCTAAAACTCAGCATTATCAAAACCTGGCATTCCCCCACAAAACTGCTCCATTTCAACAGTATCGAAAAAATGGCAACATTATCTAAACACACAATCAGGTCAACCATAAGAATGCCAATATCCCTAATTCTCCTTTTCCTTATGCTTCACATTGATTCCATTACCAAGGCTAGCAGTTTGTTCCTCTTCAAAGTATCCCAAAACCAACCTATTCTTAGACTCTCCTCTGACACCACACTAGTCCAGGCTACCATCTACTGCCGAAACTTCTAAGTGGCTCTCAATCACTCCACCCTGTGTCAATTCTTTTCCCCTACAGTACACCTCCTACAGACTAGCAAGCCACCACTTTTAGAAAAATGCTCATGAAATTGTACCATTCCTCTGCTGAAGAGCTCCAAACGCTTCTCACTGCCCTCAGAATAAAAACGACTCTTGTGCCAAGGCCGACTAAGTCCTTCAGGGTCTGGATCCTGGTTTCCATTTCCCATCATGCTCCACCACAAGAACTATTTTCGGTCCTTCAAATCCAGCAGTCTGTCCCCCACCTCGTGGCCCTTACATTTGCTATTTCTACTACTCAGACATCTCTTCTTGATCTTTATATCTTGCTCTTTGTCATCACCCCTATCCCAAAACAAATGGCAACTCCTCAGGAAGGTCTTCCTTAAATAATCCTAGCAAAACCAGGGCTATGCCACCCAACCCCACGGTCACTCACTGGATTGCTACTCTTTTTGATCCTCGTAGTATTTAGCACTACATGAAATTCTTATTTACTTACTAATTTTTCCGTTTATGCTGCTGCTCCCCATGAGAATGGAGGCTCCTTGAATGCAGTCTTGGATCTCATGCACTGGATCCTCAGACATCTGTAACAGTGTTTGGCACGTGCAGCCACAGAACACAGGACTGAGTGAAATGATACCATGGCTGACTGCAGAGGTACTGGGAAACTCAAGAGCAAGGGTGTGTCTGCAGGTACTTTCAAAACTCTGGAGCTTTTGACAAATGTGAAGAATCTGTCTAATATTCTCACTTGGGATTCTCAATGTAATAAAAATATATCATCTTTCAGAAATTCTCCTGATCTTCTAGGTATATGTCCCAGTAATAAAGACGGATTATGTGCTGCCTAACTCTCCTTGTAAAGAACACAAGAGGAAAATTCAGTACAGAAGCGTTTTCCTTTTTACAGAATTTTCTTCCCCCACTGAAATTTTTTTCCTAGGTTTTTGTCATATGCTACATGTGCTCCCAGGCGAGAGGGTAAAAACAATGAGAGGGCAAGTGAGAAATCACGCCCCAGGGTGGAATGGCTGTACCACAATCCCTCCTCCTCCACTCTCCTCTCAGGATTTTGGGCAGGCACACACACGTGTTCAGTGTGATTTTCAGGCCACTGGGTCCATGACTAGACCTATGGTCAGCCATGTGGGAATCCAACACCTTCACCACACCACCTTCTGGGTCCCCCTTTTATTTCCCCAAAAATAGTCCCTTGTTCATATTGCTATAGCCAACTATTTATTTTTAATTAATAGCATATGCACTCACTAGGGATATAAAGAGAGAGAGAAAGCATCCCACAATGGAGTATAATCACACCACAATCCCTTCTCCTCCATTTCTCCACCCTGTCAGGATTTGGGGTACATATGCACATAAGTTTATCAAGCCTTCGAGTCAGGATTCAAACTGTAGTCAGCCGTGAGGGATTCGGTTCCCTTAACCACTAAGCTACGAGGCTGGCCCCCAACCAACAATTTTTGGCTAAGTAGGAGAGGACAACTCTCAAAAAACAAGAGATCACAGTTATTTTCCAAAAAAGAAGTACCCAATTCCTTGACAGCTTCTGATGCAGATTCTGACAGGACTGTTCCTGTTTCCATGTGGTCTTGGACTAATGGGGAGGCAATGGGAAGACCGACTGCTTGCCCTTAGATAGAAAAAGAAACTAGAAACTATCTTGCTTATAGAAAGTTTTGGAATGAAGAAAAGAGTAAGGCCATTGACCTTTAAAATCCATATAAGCAAACCAAATGCACTACTTTGTTGAAAGACTGAAGAAACTTTCAGCCCTGTGGCCTATTTGTAAATAAGAGAACAAATGCATGAATCAAAGAGAATTCAAGTGGGCTAGTGAATCTAAATGTTCTCCGAATGAAAGTGGCTCACACAGAGATAAACCTATGACCTTGGCCTTATTAGCAAAGTAACAACAAAAAGTAAAATCTTTGGTTTAACCAAAGTATTTAACTTGGATAACCTGTCCAAATACCACCCAAGGAATCCATTTAATTAGTAATAACATTTTTAACTCTTGCTTCACTATTACTAGCTCTCTGGTTCCATCCTTGGCAGCAGCAACTTGGGCAAGAACATACAAAATAGGATCTTAGGCTCTACTCCTAGACACATGACCCCCCCATCTCAAAGCTTCTTTAAGATGATCAAGAATGTAAAAGAAGAATTCGTCAAGAGTAGGAGTAAATAAGAATAAAAAAAAAAAAAAAAAAAGGAAATATCCAGGGTTCAAATCCCAGTTAGGGTGCAAAAAGAAAAAAAAAGGAACATATTCCATGAAAATGAATAAACAAGAAAAGAATGTCTTGAAAACTAAAATGAGTTAATGAGAACGTAACACATAAATACTGAGATCAAATACTTATGCAATTATTCCGTAGTGAAAGAGGTCCCCAGCAGCCTTCAAAGTCAATTTTCAATAGAAAATATCAATGCAGAGGTGGTTGATGTTCCAAATATCACCTCCTCACTAATTTCTTTCAAAGTACTCATTAAGTATTGTAATTCTTTTATTGAACTGGGCTTTTAAAAAAACAGATTTTATTATGTTTCCTCCATTAGACTACAGAATAAAGGACCCTGCCCCTCCTGTTCACCACTGTGTCCCAGGGTTTAGCAAAGTGCCTGGCAAATGATAAGCATTCAATAAGCATACGCTGAATAAATGAGAACACAATTACCTTGCATTCGTCAGCCGAGAGGTTATGATAGAGCGGGCATCCTGAGATGGAGAAATGTCTCTCGTGTTTTCCTGTAAGGTGTCCTGTAATAGCAGGAAAAGCTTAATCTCAAGAAAGAGAACTTGAGCTTATAATTTTTTTCCTACAACAAGTCTATCTCTTTGGTATACTTTCATTTTTACCAAACACATGTCTGATCAGATTGAATCCGAAGGTAAGTATTATTAGGGCCACAACCCGCACTCAGATAAATTCTTTGATTAATATTCCACAGCATGGATCTGGCAATCTTTGCACATGATTGTGTTCGTTCGATGTAAATGGCAGTTCCTTCCGTCCTGATGAGATATTGTTCACATCACAAACAACATAAAGTCATGTATTCAAATAATGCACAGAATTATTGGATTGTCTGAAGAGTTCTAAGTTTTTCTATGCAGAAAATCATAACTTTTCTGACAACATAATACAAGCAGAATTATTTTCTTTTGGTGGAAGTTAACTCTCCTATGCTAAAACAACCAAGCCATATATATATATATACTTAGGGGTATGTTTCTTGATACTACACAATCTGAATTTAGTTCTTTTCAAATAATCAAAAGAAACATAAAAGTGGAGAAACAAATAGCCTTTTATATTATTATGTGAGTAAACATATTTTGAATAAGATTAAATATAAATGTTTTTGGACCAGCAGATGCCGACCATGGTTGGGAGTCCTGGTCCTGGTCCTGGTCCTGGTCTTGGCAGGCTGCATTTGTTTCAAATCTTAACAGGACGGAGAGATAGATTAGGGATTATGGTGCAATCACGTCCCTTTGGGGGATGCTTCCTTCCCCTCCCCTATTCTTCCCAGTCTGGTGAGCAATTAAAAAAAAGGCTGGGGGGGACCAGCAGATGGCATAATAGTTACATGGCTGGACTCTGATGTAGTCAACGGCAGTTTGAGTCTTGGACCTGGTAGTTTAAAACTCACATCAGGCGCATGGCTATACATGCCTAAGATCCCACGGGGAGAATGGAGAAGAAGGGACAGCAGCGAGGCCATCCCCCGGGAGGGTGATTTCTCTCTTTGTGTCTGTCTGTTTCTCCAGCAAGCGTATGTGCTCTACAGCAAAAATATCTATGGACCAGTAGTTGGCGTGATGGCTATATCACTGGACTCCCATGTAGTCGACCGCGGTTCAAGTCCCGGACCCGGTGGCTTAAACTCACTCTGGGTGCGTGTGCGTGCGTGTGCGTGCGTGCCCAAGATCCCGAGAGGAGAATGGAGGAGAAGGGATTGTGGTGTGGCCATCCCCCCTGGGGGGTAATTTCTCGCTTTCTGTCTCTCTCTCTGTCTTTCTGGCGAGCACATACACCCTATAGCAAAGGGAAAAAAATATCTTTCTAAAAAAAAGGTTGGGAAGAATTTTAGAAATAACAATACAAAAAGCTCATTTTAGCAAACGGTATTTCTTTACTTTTCTATTTTTCATACGGTGTTTTGAAAACACACAGGGAGTTCAATATTCCTCTTAGATATAATTCTCAACCAACAGGTTCATAAAACACCTAAGATTGAAATGGATGGTGAGACGATGATAATGAGATAAAAAGATAAGTCAGCTAACTTAAATTGCAAAGTCTACAAAAAATCTTCACCTTCTTGCATTGAAAAAAGATGCTTAGGGCCAGCACGTGGCATGGTGGTTAAGATGCTGGATTTCACTTGGCCAACTCAGAAGTCCCGAGTCTCGGACCCAAAAAACACTCCAGGAGCATGCCCCAAATCCTGAGAGGACAAATGAAGGAGAGGTGACTGTGGCATGGCCATCCTCTCTAGAGGGTGATTTCTCACTTTCCCTTTCTCTCTGTCTCTCTCCAGCAAGTGCATGTGCCCCATGGC